AAATGTTACTAACAAACACCCGTGTTATGGACATAACAAATGTTACTAACAAACAACCGTGTTACGAACATAACAAATGTTACTAACAAACACCCGTTACGGACATATCAAACACCCATGTTACGGACATACCAAATGTTAATAACAAACACCTGTGTTACGGACATAACAAATGTTACTAACAAACACCCGTGTTACGGACATAACAAATATTACTTACAAACACCCGTGTTACGGACATAACAAATGTTACTAACAAACACCCGTGTTATGGACATAACAAACACCCGTGTTACGGACATAACAAATGTTAATAACAAACACCCATGTTATGGACATAACAAACACCCATGTTATGGACATAGCGAAAGTTTATAGCAAAGACGCGTGTTACGGACATAATAAATATTTACAACAAACATCCTTGTTACGGATATAACTAAAACTTGCGTTATTGACATACTAATGAGAAGATAGAAGACATTATCATTATAAATACAATACATGTTATGACTTTGAGAGTTTGAGCACACTGTTTCGGGGTTGCTACCTTAAACCGAGTGCCAAATCAATGGCACGTGCTTCAGCAGAGAATATAGAATTATCAACAGGAAGACAATGGAAGCGCTATAGTTCCCGGTACAGCATATTGAAGCAACTCGTTTCCCGTTTTTGAATCGTCTGTGTATCAGTTCAGAGAAACTTGCTTCCATTACATGTATCTGGAATAGTGTGACCAAATTGTTGAATCATGGCTAAATAACTTAAACCTGTTTAATAGTCGACGGCGGGACAGCAGAATTTCGTTTTAAACAATGTCTGAAAACCAAACACACAGATCATGAACTTATAAACTTAATGTTGGAATATGTTTTTTTTTTCGTTTTGGTTGAGGTTATTTTTCATAGTTTGGATTGAAATGTGCTTGATTGAATGCCGGTTTTTGATGATTTAATTTCAGCTGTGCTGCACCAGTCCAAGTAGTGAAGACGTGTTAGCGGCATGAACTTTGATGGACTTTGATATCGTTTGTTTTATCACAGTTCATCTGTGCATTAATCTGCCTTATTGATTTCCTTCTCGCAAAATGTTTGGAACAATGACTAATCTGTTTTGAACATGTTTCCCCGAGGTGGAGGTTCATCAAGTAGTGACCTGTTGTGATCACTCTCACACTTACACTCCAGTTAGAGATAGTTTGAGAGGGTAGCAGAATGACAGGTCAATGTGTGTCAGTGACCCTTTGGCTGGGTGTAAGTAAGTGAGACTCTTGTTGTTGAACAGGCACAGATGCTTTTTGATGCATTTCTCAAAGCGCCCGCTTCTTAGAACTATAATTGGGGAACTCATCCGACAATTAAACTCCTTTATGATATAACAAGATGCTGGGAGGTGACTAATGGATCGCTTAACCCGTAATTCCTAATTGTTAGGGTATCATGGCATATCGTTACATCAAGGTTGTGTATAGCAAATATATTTATATAAAGGGTATCTATATTGAGTACACTCGCGTCCACGCCCACTTTCTCTGATGTTTGCTGAGAAGAATGATCACGATACTGACAGACAATATTAGAATTGTGGAATCTATTGTTCTAGGTGTGATACACCAGCTTAGAAACGTCAATCTGAGGACAAAATCCTTAAATAAGTACTGACTTTATCTCATGATTCACTCCTACATAAACGGGTACTCTGGGGTCAATAACTGTGGTTTGAGTTTGTACCAAACACGTGTAACAAAAAAAATTACAGTTAAAAAACCTAATCTAATTACAGCATTGTATTGCATTTAAATCCCCGCCGATCATTGTTAATGTAAACATATCATGTATCGTTTAGATCAATCTATTATCCTCATACAAAAACGTTAACAGTTATGTCGTGCGAACTCGTCGCCATTGGGCAAAAAAACACCAGTCACGCTTCACATAACACGAAGCACAGATACAGGTTCAAGTCCATATTAAACATCGAATGAATGATTGTTTTTTTCTATTTGACATGAACACCAAAAGTTCCGTAACATTATGATATTATGTTAATGTATTTGTCGTTGGCGTGAATATGCACATGTACTGATGAGCTATTAGGATAAGCATGATAAAAATTGATAGAAAAGTATATCAGGGGTTATTTTAAACAGCTTTGTTCACGTGTATATGTGTATTGTGTACAATGATGGTCCGCCGATTGCACAGGGGCCCATTGTTAATTGTGACGTAGCTCGAACTAACGACACCTAAGTATTGTAATCTAGAATGAATATACTTGTTTACGATTTAAAGGGTAGAGTACCGAGGGCTTGTTCTACCAGGGTGAAGAGTTATGGTGTTTATTTTAACTTATTTTATCTGCGACATTTATAACAGATAGCTGGTTTATGAAGTTTCGTTGATAATTATGAAGACTCATTATCACAATGGATGGATTTTATTAATTAGTGTACTGACTGTTATAGGTAAGTAGACTAGGCTTAAATAATTTGTTCCAGAGTTATAAATGACGTTTATATGTTTAATGGTTAACCAAAGAATTATCTTATCTGTCTGTTTCGATGTTTCTCCGATACTATTCCTTAAGTTCTGCCTCTGGACACTTGTCACAAATACAGAAGTTCTGCCACTGGACACTGGTCACAAACACAGAAGTTCTGCCACTGGACACTGGTCACAAACACATAAGTTCTGCCACTGGACACTGGTCACAAATACAGAAGTGCTGCCACTTGACACTTGTCACAAACACAGAAGTTCTGCCACTGGACACTGGTCACAAACACAGAAGTTCTACCACTGGACACTGGTCACAAACACATAAGTTCTGCCACTGGACACTGGTCACAAATACAGAAGTTCTGCCACTGGACACTTGTCACAAACACAGAAGTTCTGCCACTGGACACTGGTCACAAACACATAAGTTCTGCCACTGGACACTGGTCAAAAACACATAAGTTCTGCCACTGGACACTGGTCACAAACACATAAGTTCTGCCACTGGATACTGGTCACAAATACAGAAGTTCTGCCACTTGACACTTGTCACAAACACAGAAGTTCTGCCACTGGACACTGGTCACAAACACATAAGTTCTGCCACTGGACACTGGTCAAAAACACATAAGTTCTGCCACTGGACACTGGTCACAAACACATAAGTTCTGCCACTGGATACTGGTCACAAATACAGAAGTTCTGCCACTTGACACTTGTCATAAACACAGAAGTTCTGCCACTGGACACTGGTCACAAACACATAAGTTCTGCCACTGGACACTGGTCAAAAACACATAAGTTCTGCCAATGGACACTGGTCACAAACACAGAAGTTCTGCCACTGGACACTGGTCACAAACACAGAAGTTCTGCCAATGGACACTGATCACAAACACATAAGTTCTGCCACTGGACACTTGTCACAAACACAGAAGTTCTACCACTGGACACTGGTCACAAACACATAAGTTCTGCCACTGGACACTGGTCACAAACACAGAAGTTCTGCCACTGGACACTGGTCACAAACACATAAGTTCTGCCACTGGACACTTGTCACAAATACAGAAGTTCTGCCACTTGACACTTGTCACAAACACATAAGTTCTGCCACTGGACACTGGTCACAAATACAGAAGTTCTGCCACTGGACACTTGTCACAAACACATAAGTTCTGCCACTGGACACTTGTCACAAATACAGAAGTTCTGCCACTGGACACTGGTCACAAACACATAAGTTCTGCCACTGGACACTGGTCACAAATACAGAAGTTCTGCCATTTGACACTTGTCACAAACACAGAAGTTCTGCCACTGGACACTGGTCACAAACACATAAGTTCTGCCACTGGACACTGGTCAAAAACACATAAGTTCTGCCAATGGACACTGGTCACAGACACAGAAGTTCTGCCACTGGACACTGGTCACAAACACAGAAGTTCTGCCAATGGACACTGGTTACAAACACATAAGTTCTACCACTGGACACTGGTCACAAACACATAAGTTCTACCACTGGACACTGGTCACAAACACATAAGTTCTGCCACTGGACACTGGTCAAAAACACATAAGTTCTGCCACTGGACACTGGTCACAAACACATAAGTTCTACCACTGGACACTGATCACAAGCACATAAGTTCTACCACTGGACACTGGTCACAAACACATAAGTTCTGCCACTGGACACTGGTCACAAACACATAAGTTCTGCCACTGGACACTGGTCACAAACACATAAGGTCTGCCACTGGACACTGGTCACAAACACAGATCCAAACTCCGGGCACTCACTCCGTATCATTTCCTGTTTAAAACTTTATAATTATTTCACATTCTACGTTAAACAAGAACTTTCTTGGTATTAACACGCTTGTTTTCAATTCTAAAACGTTAGTGAAGGGCACAAGATTCTGCAGCTATAAATGATTAAAAAGATAACCTAAAAATTGCAAATAAATAAAATGAGATGTTTAGTAATGAATTGGAAGAGCAATCACTCCAACAAACACAAATAAATATACTATATCATACATACACACGGCACATAATCTTTTGTAAGCATGTGTAGTCACCGTTTTGCTGTCGAATATATTTTTAAAAAATTCCCTTTTAAGTATCGATATATCGATAGAAGAGGGATATGTCTTTCCAGTCACAAGATGGAAATATTTGGTTGGGGGGGAGCTGAAATGATATCAAATGACCATCGGTAATATCGTTCCGATGTATTGCTTACTGATTTCATCATTGAACGTATCGTTGTATTCATCAAACCAATTGAAATACTTAATTGAAAGTTTACTTCCCGTCACGCACATGTACCTGTTTATACAGCTACGAAACTTAGAAAACTTAATTACACTTACCTTTGTTTCTAGATCATAGAAATTTTATTATCCAACATGGATATTACTAAGTGAGTTGTTGAATATTCTACAACACAGTTACTATATTTCAAGGTGTTTTTTATTCGGTTCTTTCTTGCAGGTCGTTGTAGAGGAGGCGACCTTTGTTATGACAGTATAGAAGAGAAATACAACTACTGTAGTGGCTACTGCTGTGGAAAAGGAGACGAATGCTGTACGAAGTAAGTTGTTATTTTTTCTTCGTTAGGGCCGCGATAGCTAGGTTTGTAGAACCGAAGACAGGTACAGATCCGAGATTTGTAGTTCGACCCCTAATAACAGGTGTAGATCCGAGATTTGTAGTTCGATCCCTACTCACATGTGTAGATCCGAGATTTGTAGTTCAACCCCTAATCACAGATACAGATCCGAGATTTGTAGTTCGATCCCTACTCACATATGTAGATCCGAGATTTGTAGTTCGATCCCTACTCACATATGTAGATCCGAGATTTGTAGTTCAACCCCTAATCACAGATACAGATCCGAGATTTGTAGTTCGATCCCTACTCACATATGTAGATCCGAGATTTGTAGTTCAACCCCTAATCACAGATACAGATCCGAGATTTGTAGTTCGATCCCTACTCACATATGTAGATCCGAGATTTGTAGTTCGATCCCTACTCACATGTGTAGATCCGAGATTTGTAGTTCGATCCCTAATCATAGGTACAGATCCAAGATTTGTAGTTCGAACCCTTATAACAGGTGTAGATCCGAGATTTGTAGTTCGATCCCTACTCACAGGTGTAGATCCGAGATTTGTAGTTCAACCCCTAATCACAGATACAGATCCGAGATTTGTAGTTCGATCCCTACTCACATATGTAGATCCGAGATTTGTAGTTCGATCCCTAATCATAGGTACAGATCCAACATTTGTAGTTCGAACCCTTATAACAGGTGTAGATCCGAGATTTGTAGTTCGATCCCTACTCACAGGTGTAGATCCGAGATTTGTAGTTCAACCCCTAATCACAGATACAGATCCGAGATTTGTAGTTCGATCCCTACTCACATATGTAGATCCGAGATTTGTAGTTCGATCCCTACTCATAGGTACAGATCCAACATTTGTAGTTCGAACCCTTATAACAGGTGTAGATCCGAGATTTGTAGTTCGACCCCTACTCACAGGTGTGAATTTGTTGAAAAATGTAACGTAATATAAGTTTTATATTTGTTTCAATATTTATTCAATATTTATTAACTAAGTTTATTTCCGACGCTTTTTGCCGCTCTCAGTGCTGATTTGAAGAGTCCATGAAGGACAATGGCATGTTCAAAATACACAACATTTGTCCGTCTTTTCAAATTTACTGTCTCACTGAATTGATACAAGTTATAGATACACGGTTATTGCATCTGACATATAACCAATCAATGGTGATAGATCGTAAGTATGTATATAGTCTTTACTATGTGGAGACAAAAGTTTAGAAAAATGACTGAATAGTTCTTATTTATCCCCCATCTTCATCGTTATTCGTTTAATTGGACAAGTTATAATAAATCATTACAATTTTTTTTTTTAATTTCACGTTACTGGAAACGAAAAATTAAGAAAAGCAACGAATTATTGTTTCAATCATTGATTCATTTATTTTACAGAGACGTTGGAGGATTAGTGGGCGTGGCCATTGCAATAACCGTCGGAATCATTGCTATAATAGTATTTTCTGTCTGTATATGTTGCATGTTCGCAAAAACGTCACGTGATTCAGCTAGAATGCGAACATCAGCAATCCACCCCAGAAACCTTGACGATAGTTTCAAGCATACAACTTCCGTTTGTAAGTAAATCAGGTCTCCATACGTTGTACATTAGACGAGTACGACACTAAAAATTCAGATAACATAGAATTCTTCAAATCCGAACAGTTTCAAAATGGGTCTTTAGACTTGTAACGTTACGATAAAAAATTCTCGAGTAGACAGAAGGTAAATGCAGTCCAATGGCTCATCACATCCTATGCAACGAGGAATACCTATAATTTGAGAAGGAACAAATATTGGGGTGAAGATAGGGATAGACGGCGCTCATCTTTACTGTGTCTATGCAATTAAATAAATTTAATCCAGAAACAGTTTTATAAATTTTGAATCTTTAATTTCTGTTGTTTTCGCTGAACCCATTTATCGTACATATATTACAAAGACGACATAAATGTTTTTTTACCACCAATTTAAAAAAGAAATGATTGTTTTGTTTTTTTCAACATTATTTTTAAATATGTGTAACCCGTAACAGTCATTTTTAAACGATATTTTCTGTTTCAGCTTATACTACAACCACTACATCATGTCCTAGCTGCCAAAACCGGTACCAAAATGGAGTGTTCACCTACACATTACCGGCGAGCTTCCATTTAACCCGTGAATGCCCTTCTTTGTCTTTGTCTCCGATCTCACCTCCTCCTCCCATGTCTCCAATTTACCCTCCCCCGTACGATGAGAGGTCCGAGTCACCACCAAAGTATTTAAGTGATTAATAAAATTCTTTGTGAAACTGTGGAAAGGAACGGATAACGCAATCAACGACAATCATCGGAGTGTGATAACACTTTGAATGAAGTCGTATTTTCACTACTCTATTGAACTGTGTAGACTTTTCATTAACTTCAACTCAACATTTCATCACATATTATCACCACAGCAAGATTTCGACGTAATTCAAATGAAAGTGTTGCTTTTCTTTTCTCGTGATTTCCCGTGTAAAAAGTGTTATGATGTTTGGCACATATTTGTATAACCTAGGTCATTAGAACTTCCCTTTTTTTATCTTTCTGTCGTCTACTTCCTTTCTGTATAATATTTCTCATATGAAGATTTATAATTGGTATAAAACAGGCCATCACGTGTTATATGTAGTTATTGTATGTTGTAATACCAGCAGAGAGTCTAGTAACATACAAGAAATTGTGTCCGATCCCTTTGATATAGAGTTACCTTAGTATATTTGAATGAACGTATCAAAACATTCATAACAGAAAAGACATGTATAAGCTATGACAGTTTGGTTTAAGATACAAAAGCAATCAGTTTTGTTAAATTGAAAATACTCACTTTTACGTTCTTGTTTTAATCATCATCCTGTACATTTTAAGCACGTTCTTGTTTTAATCATCATCCTGTACATTTTAAGCACGTTCTTGTTTTAATCATCATCCTGTACATTTTAAGCACGTTCTTGTTTTAATCATCATCCTGTACATTTTAAGCACGTTCTTGTTTTAATCATCATCCTGTACATTTTAAGCACGTTCTTGTTTTAATCATCATCCTGTACATTTTAAGCACGTTCTTGTATTAATCATCATCCTGTACATTTTAAGCACGTTCTTGTTTTAATCATCATCCTGTACATTTTAAGCACGTTCTTGTTTTAATCATCATCCTGTACATTTTAAGCACGTTCTTGTTTTAATCATCATCCTGTACATTTTAAGCACGTTCTTGTTTTAATCATCATCCTGTACATTTTAAGCACGTTATTGTTTTAATCATCATCCTGTACATTTTAAGCACGTTCTTGTTTTAATCATCATCCTGTACATTTTAAGCACGTTCTTGTTTTAATCATTATCCTGTACATTTTAAGCACGTTCTTGTTTTAATCATCATCCTGTATATCACAACAACATTTTCTCTCTTCAATCACGAACTTTCACGGTGTAATTGCTTTGTGCTATAAAATTTACTATGTTATCGAGATTAAAGGTTATTTCGTTTCGTATTATCCAATGATTAAACATATCATTCTACATGAACAAATTTATCTTTTAAATCAATTTCACCGTTACATTTTATTAAGAAATCCGTGTCATTCATAACCGCTTTTTTTTCCTTTAGTTGGTATGAATACTCCTTACTTGATGATAGTTTAAAGAATGTTTTATATAGAAATACAGACTTAAGATCTCATAATTGTGTATAGAGTGCGGGTGATTTTTTATTTTGATTTTTGATAAACCTTTTTGGAACGTTTCTGGAGCTTAAAAGAATTACAAATTACTATTATCTATTTTTTAAATATAAAACTATCTGTAATAAGAACTTGTGCATGTCCTAACCCGAGGACAAAAACACTATTGTATACTATTGGCTGTGTACTTAGTTATGATCTATTGTGATAAATGCTTCAATTCTTATTCAAAAGTATAATTTATTTTTTTACAGAAATATATATGTTTTTTATCAATTTTTGATGATTGAAACGTAAATTGAAGAGCTGAAATTTGTTAAACATAAAGTATATCTTGAGAAATTATAATAAGTATTTAATGTCCCTTTTATAACCTTTAATAACGTGTAATATAAAAAGGTACATTTATACAATTGTACAGCATTTTTACAGAATTGACTATAAATATGTGTGTATATATATGTGTGTATATATATGTGATTTGTATAGCTAAGGAACCATTCAGTCTAAAACACAATGGTACCAGACACAATTGTCAGATCCAAATGCAAACATGTGTCATAATTAATTGTTACAACCTTTATCTAGTCTTTAACTTGTGATCCCCAGTGTTAATTATATATTTAGATATAAAAAAGATAATCAGCATGTCTGATGTCACCTGTGTGACGTAAAGTGTATTATTTCATGTAGCTATGTAATAAACAATCACGTGGTCTAAAACAATGGTGTTAAGGTTTTTTTTCAGGTTTAATTTTGACACATTTTTTTACACGTGACATTGACTTAAAAAACGCTTAAAACATAAAAATACGGTAGTTTTGAAATTTTGCCTTCTTGGCGTAGAAAACGTAAAATACCAACAAACCAGATGTTGTGCATTGTAGAAATGAAATCACTTATACTTCGTATGAATTTCATTGTGAAAAAAACGATTTATTGCTAAAAAAAACCCCAAACAAACAAACAAAAAACAAACAAAAGAAGAAAAAAAAAGAAATAAAAAACAAGAAAATATCAACGTGTCAACATAAACTAAACTCAAATTCATTAAGACTAGGACAAAATATTCAGAAACAAATATTTACACAGAGACTCCAGAAAACGTACAAAGAGAATAAGAACAGGTGTCGGATATGGTTTAAACAATATTTAGACAAAATGTACTTTTCAATCCATGAAATTTGAAATTCTACCAACAGAACATAAGCTATATTGTTTGTGAAGTATTCGCTTAGCGGTGAAAGGACTTATCATCTTTTTAATATGAATTATTCAACTCTTTAATTGAATATGCTCTACTTTTAGTCGTGTAATGAGGGGTATTAAAGGCATAAGGAGGTAACAAAGATCCCACACTAAACATGTAGATTGGATGCTTGAAGTTATAAAGTTATAAAGCTTCACGGAAATCGGATTTAAAAATTAGTTGAAAAAGGTCTATGATTAGTCCAAAAAGTCTAGAATATCTTAACACTCTACAGTTGTTTCTCGTATAAATAAATTTCAAATAATTTATATTAATGTTCTTCTAAAGTTATCAGAGATATAAAATTTACTGAATTATAGTCTAGTGAACCTACAATCCAGATTTTGACATTTCTTTCAATCACTTGATTTTCCTCAGTTGCCGCCAAGGTTTAGACCCTTAGCATCATTGACGAGTCCTACGGCAAAACAGCTGTATGATGTAGTAGAATAAACTCAAGCTTCACAGTATCTCACTTAAAATTTGTATTAAAAGGTGTTATTCACTTGTGTGTCTTTTGTACCATCTTATATGCTAATTATACAACAAAATACAGAATATAAGCTGAACATCAGAAGTTGAGATTTAACACAAAGAAAAATGGTACCATCTTCATTTGATGATGAAAGTAAGGTAACCATTGATGAACATATTTTATATTTACTCACAAGCAAAGTGTTATTTGGTGTTTGAAGTGGTTCTCTCCCCTTCAACAATGAAGCGGACACATTCTAGATCTGTATTTTGGCAGCATAACGAACTAGAAAAGATTTTATACTGAATATCACATAGTTTAGAGCCTAAGATGATTTTCGTTTTTTGATGATGTGAAAAAGTATGAAAATTTTATTTTGTTTTTGTTTTTGTTTTCTAAATTAGATGACAAGAGTCAATTTAAATTCATTTCAAAATGTCTTGACCCGGAGTTTTATCTTAACAATTGCGTTTATGTATAGAAGGAGAAATTGTCTTTCAACTTGTTATATTTAAGCAACTGTTTGGCTGGGCATCTTTTATTTATAAATTAATATTAAAATTTGTAAAATAAATGAATCGAACTTTGAACGTCCCAGCTGATCCTAACCATATTTGGACCGATAGTGTTAGAATGATTATATATATATATATACCCTATAATAGCTACCTGGTCAGTAAGTACAATTCCATAGAGTGACCATCATCGAAATATCGTCATGCTCTAATGACCATGGTATATATATGTACTTTGCGAATTCACACGAACAGAATTATGGACGTATATGTGTGTGTATAGTAAGTGTTAATGATCCACTTTGTTCTATTGCACCACGACCTTTAAACAATCTATCTCTACCAAGCAATCTAGGTGGTTGTGAAGCGTATAAATAAACTGTTTGATAGGTTAGATACATGTCTTAAGCACAATGAAATCCAAGTCGTAAAGATTGATCCCGTCCAGAAAGATCTGAATCATAGCCATCACATAGAGCAGAAAATGAAAAACATCGACGTTGATAACTGTGTGGTCCCATAAAATGGAAAAGGGAACCCAGACCATGATTGATAAGAATGGCAAAATTCTAGTCTTGTCTGGATCATAACAACGCTAATGTGACCAATACTTAAAGCTGCTGAAGACAAACATTCAGTTGACACCACCATAAATCTGGACAAATTACAAGACCTCTGATAATTTTTGAGAGAAATAGACACAAGGATCTTGTGATAGACTTACAAAGAAAACCTTCAAATCTATTAGCTAAAGGAGGAACATCCAGGTGAGGACCCTGAAGTTTAACTGTGTGATTTCAAATATTTATGAGCTCGGCATTGTTGGCAAGGTCTTGAACTGCAAGCATCGACCTTTCGAAGCTGGAATTGTTTAGTACAAGGGCCTGAAACTAGTCCGAGACAGGTCATTGAAAATCACAGGCTCCGGATATTGAATTAATGAACAGTTTCCTGCGAAAATTGAGGACAAAAATCGCGAGTTGTGCCCTATGCTCAGGCAGTGCGAAAGTGTCAAGTTGATATGTAATGGGCTTTCCTTCAATTGAAGGCTCTACCATGGTGTCCCTGTAGAGAATGCGACAGGAGCTGTAACCAGACTCCGTTCCTCACAGAATGAAGCCAGATAGCAGTCGTACCTGGATGATTGAGAGCGGGCGCCAACTTCCGGCCAACGCCATTCAAAGTGACGAGGTAGATTCACACCTATACGGAGTTCGTGATTGGGGAGGGGATTTACTTTCTGAATGACTTTCAAACAGATGCATGTGTGCGCTATGGTGGGTTTGTGCTACTAATCCGCAATGGCATTTTAAATTTGTAAATGTTATAAATGTTTTGTTTGACGCACTTGTACCATTGAATATTCTGAATCCAGAAATGTGATTGTTGTAGGT